GCACCATAACAGCCAATTATTTTGCTCCTATTGCAATTTTTGCATGCTAAAAAAGTTGGAGTACAATATCCCCAGCATTGATGTCAGTGAGTGTAACAACAGTCCCTAGCACTGCTGACGTCCATAATAGCCCCCAACATTGGTGACAGTACTATTAACATTAGGACACACTGATGGTCAGTGCCAGTGAAAGTTAACACCCTATCCACCCCCCCTGCATTGGTGGTCAATGGCAGTGAAAGTTAACACCCTATCTGCCCCTTCCTGCATTGGTGGTCAATGGCAATGAAATTTAACCCCACCCCCCTGCATTGATGGTCAGTGCCAGTGAAAGCTGACACCCTATCCACCCCTTCCTGCATTGATGGTCATGGCAGTAAAAGTTAACCCTCCAACCCCCCCCCCCACCCCCGTATTGGTGGTCATGGCAGTGAAGGTGTTAACCCCCATTCCCTGCCCCCTTGTCCCCCTGTTACGGCAGTAAAAGTAGTAAGCCCCCCCCCCCCCATCCCCCTGTTTTGGTGGTCATAGCAGTGAAAGTGTTAACCCCCCCTCACACCCCTCGTAATGGTGGTCATGGCAGCAAAAGTGTTAACCCCCCTTGCCTTGGGGGGTCATATGTTGGGCATCAGGGCCTTAAAAAGATAGGAGGGCGACAAAGAGTTAAATGTACTTTATAAATATGAGCAGTTTGATCTTGTATCAGCCTTTTGCAGTCCCCATACAGTAAGGCTTGAGTGCAAGAGGAAGAAGCAGCACAGTAGCCAATCATGTGCTGACAAGAAGCATGGTGATAGGAGGAGAGAGCAGAGTGACAGAGAGATGAGCTCATCACTGTGCTTGTTCACTTTTCATTATCCAGTCCCAAGCTGGGGGGGTGGATCTAGGAAGACCTGGGCTCAGAAGAAAGGGGTTGACTGATACCAAGCATCAAACTGAGGGCATCTAGTGGCAGAAAAAGGTACTGCTGGAATACTCTGGATCGAAGGTTATTGCAATAAAATTTGGTTTTGTTATTTTATCTATTTCTCTTGTTATTGGTGGCTGGAACTCTGCTTTAAATCTGATGGCAACAGAGCATGAAACAAACCTTAAAAAGATTTCAAAATCCAGAGATTTTCAAAACGTTACATGCGAATGTCTACCGAATAAACAGCAGCCTGGAGCGGAGAACATCAATTTTCCAGCTAAAACTTCGCAATGAAAGAAAGCAAACTCTAAATTATTTATTCTCTATTGTACGGGAGGCTGTCTAAAAAGTGAAGCCGTTCATATTTCGAGTGACAAATATTCAGCGCATTCAAATCTCAGAACATCAACGAGTAAAAATTAAACAAAAGATTAAAAAAAACCCTGTTTCAGCCGTGCCAACTTTGAAACAACTTAACATTTCCCGTTAAACAGCAACAAAAACATCAATATTGTTTTCCAGATCAGACAACGGGTTTTATTCCGCAGAAGTGATGCGCGGGCAAATTGTGTATTGATTGTCCCAAAAGATCGTCTAGATTTTCAGAGCTATGAATGATTCATCGGCATTGTAAAATGTTAGAAAGGTGCCAAAAATGGAGGAATTTAATGAACTCGGATAAATATCACCCTTTCAGGGAAAAGGCGAAACAGTCGGGTATTATGACGGTTTGTCAGATAAGTTCCTGATGCTGATAAAGGCGAGAGAAGAGGCGAGTAGTTAAAATATTAAGACGTTGGGGGGCCAAGGAATAAATGGCTTTATAGACATGTTGGAGATAAAAAATGAGTCTCTGATGGATGCAAACTCATAAGATGAGCTGATTGATAATAAATAGGACTCTGGTGATGGTTTTCTCAAAAAATGCAATAAAAAAACAATAACAATGTAATATCAACAAAATACTCAAACAAGAGTTAGTTACAGATACTGACAGTCACTTCTATTGCTGGTTTTATCTTTTATTTTTCGTTCGTGTAAATTAGGTCTTTCAGTATTCTTCTGGCCAGTCACTTGATGTCCTCAGATCCTCCCTTCTCTGTGCTGGCATTGGCCCTGAGCAGCCCTCAAGGCTGCAAAGAATAGAGCTTACCTAGAGTGAGACCTCCTACATTTAAGGTCCTGGGAAGCTGTCAGAGAGGTTTGGATTCCTAGAGACCTTTGTGTGAGACCTCCTGGACTGAGGACATCCGTAAGTGTCACAGAGGATTTAATCCCTTGAGTAGTATGTGTGAGACCTCCTGGACTGGGGCCCTGAGAAGGTGTCAGGGAGGATTGAATCCCTGGGGCAGTATGTGTAAGACCTCAGGCCCTGCAAAGGTGTCAGAAAGGTTTGGAATCCTGGAGACTTGTGTTGTGAGCGCTCCTGGATTAAGGTCCTAAAAAGGTGTCTGAAAGGATTGGATCTCTTGAGTAGTGTGTGTGTGAGACCTCCTGTCAGGAATGGACTGGCCAGCAATAGTGGGACTCAGCTGCCTTATGAGCTGCAGTACCAGGGCTGGCCAGTGGGTGCTCCCAGCAATCAGAGACTCAACCTTGCAGCCAGTCAAACACCTGGAACTAATTATACTGGTGTATTTAAGGGACATTCAGACCTGCAGACTTTGCCTTGGTGTTGTGTTTCTCTTGGGCCCTGTATCCTGTTCTCTGTTCCTGTCTGATTCTCTGCTGACCCTGCTCTGATCCTGGCTTGTCTGACCATTCTCCTCTGCCTGACCCTCTGTACCACGCTGCCCGCTACCTGCTGAACCTGGCCTGTGACCCTGACCATTCTCCGCTTGCTCCCCCTGTACCTACCCTGCCCCGACTGATATTGACCCGGCCTGCCTGACGACGCTTGCATTGTATGTACTGTTATCTGTGGGTGGTTGGTTGGTTTGTTTGCACTGTGTTATGTTTTAGTATTGCACTGCGTTTATGTTTGTATGGTTAGTGTTAATAAATTACATTGTTTATAACATATCTGAAGCCTGCGTTTCCCTGCGTCAGTCACACACCTCTGGTCATACCCGGGAGCCCTGACACCTCCTGGACTGATGCCCTGGGAAGGTGTCAGAGCGGATTGGATTCTTGGAGTAGTATGTGTGAGACCTCCTGGACTGATGCCCTTGGAAGATGTCAGAGCAGATTGGATTCTTGGGAGTAGTATGTGTGAGACCTCCTGGATTTAAGGCCCTGTGAAGGTGTCAGAAAGGTTTGGATTCCTAGAGACAGCTGTGTGAGAGCTCCTGGATTAAGACCCTAGGAAGATGTCGGAAAGGATTGGAGTCCTTGAGTAGTGTGTTTGAGACCTCCTGGACTAAGGATTCCAAGGACTAAGAACACTACTCAGAAGGTGTCAGAGAGGATTGAATCCCTGAAGTAGTATGTGTGAGACCTCCTGGATTGAGGCCCTGTGAATGTGTCAGAAAGGTTTGGATTCCTAGAGACAGCTGTGTGAGAGCTCCTGGATTAAGTCCCTGGGAAGATGTCGGAAAGGATTGGAATCCTTGAGTAGTGTGTTTGAGACCTCCTGGACTAAGGATTCCAAGGGCTAAGGAGTCCCCCAAGGCTCCGTCCTCGGACCCCTCCTCTTCTCCTCCATCTACACCTCCTCCCTTGGCAAACTGATACACTCTCACAGCTTCAACTATCACCTCTATGCCGACGACACACAAATTTACCTCTCCACCCCCCACCTCACCCCCTCACTCTCCGCCCGCATCGCCCACCTCCTGAATGACATATCAGACTGGATGTCGCTCCATTTCTTCAAGTTAAACCTATCCAAAACTGAGCTCCTGGTTTTCCCCCCAGCCCGTGCCCCCCCCCATCTTCTCCATCACTACTAGCAACGCCACCATCAATCCCACCCCACACGCCAAAGTCCTGGGTGTCACCCTGGACTCAAACCTTTCCTTCCAACCTCATGTTCAATCACTATCAAAGTCATGCAGGCTCCACCTCCGCAACATCTCCAAGATACGTACATTCCTCACCCCGGACACCACTAAACTCATCCACTCCCTCATCATCTCACGCCTGACTACTGCAACTCCCTCCTCACTGGCCTACCCAAACAAATGCTATCCCCACTCCAGTCTATCCTGAACTCAGCGGCCAGACTCATCCATCTCACCAACCACTCCACATCTGCCTCCCCCTCTGCCAATCCCTTCACTGGCTCCCGATTGCCCAACGCATCAAATTACTAATTTGACCAACAAAGCCATTCATAACTCCGCCCCAAACTACCTGACTGACCTGATACCCAAATACTACCCTACCCGTGCCCTTCGCTCCTCACAGGACCTCCTACTCTCTATCTCCCTGGTCTCCTCCTCCCACGCCCGACTGCATGACTTCTCCAGGACTTCCCCCCCATCCTCTGGAACTCCCCACCCAATCCATCAGACTGTCACCTACCTTCCTCAGCTTCAGGCGCTCCCTGAAAACCCACCTCTTCAGGGAAGCCTACCCCGCCCTCACCTAACAACTGATCTCCTCCACTTCTCCCCCACCACTCCATCCCCCACAGCCACTTCCTCCTGTACCACTATCCCCTCCCTCCTAGATTGTAAGCTCCAAGGAGCAGGGCCCTCGAACCCCTCGTGTATTGTATTGTTTCTGTCTTGTCTCATGTTCTGTCCCCCCCTATAATATACAGCGCGCTGAGCAAATCCTTTGGCGCTATATAAATACTGTATTATAATAATAATAATAATGACACTACTCAGAAGGTGCAAGGATTCAACCTATGTCTGTAGCCCCATCCTCGTTATTTTTCACCACCAGGCCTGGTAGAAATAAAGCTCAGACACTGAAGTCTGCAAGCTAAATCTCTGAAAATTTAATGCATGACAAGAACAGTTATACAGAACTCAGTAGGCGTGGCTTAATCTCAGGATGACAAATGAAACATTCCATTCTTATCAATATAGTTACGTGAAGAACAGAAACTGCAAATAATTGAGGGATATCATATAAGGAAGTTCCTTTTAGAGAAATGAAAACTAGTCTAAGGAAACGAGAGAGAAGTTACAAAAAACAAAACTACCGTATTTTTCGCTCCATAAGACACACCTAGGTTTTAGAGGCGAAAAACAGGAAAAAAAAAAATTCTGAACCAATGGACTGCAGACATAGTACAGATGACCAGAGACTGCGGACACAGTACAGGAGATGACCAGAGACTGCAGACACAGTACAGGAGATGACCAGAGACTGCAGACATAGTACAGGAGATGACCAGAGACTGCGGACACAGTACAGGAGATGACCAGAGACTGCAGACACAGTACAGGAGATGACCAGAGACTGCAGACATAGTACAGGAGATGACCGGAGACTGCGGACACAGTACAGGAGATGGTCAGAGACTGCAGACATAGTACAGATGACCAGAGACTGCGGACACAGTACAGGAGATGACCAGAGACTGCAGACATAGTGCAGATGACCAGAGACTGCGGACACAGTACAGGAGATGACCAGAGACTGCAGACACAGTACAGGAGATGACCAGAGACTGCGGACACAGTACAGGAGATGACCAGAGACTGCGGACACAGTACAGGAGATGACCAGAGACTGCGGACACAGTACAGGAGATGACCAGAGACTGCGGACACAGTACAGGAGATGACCAGAGACTGCAGACCATAAAGGAGATTACCAGAGACTGCTGACCTTTGGGGAGGGAGGGGGAGTGGGTACCTGAATTTGACAGGTACCCGCTCCCACTTCCGCGGAGTTGCCTTCCCTCTTCTTCCCGGGCCGGCTTCTGTGACAGCCGGGTGCCCACTGCGCATGTGCGAGAAGCGCTGCGCTTTGTGAATGGCCCGGCGCCTTCTGGGACCTGTCATGTGTCCCAGAAGACACCGGACCATTCACAAAGTGAAGCGCATGCGCAGTGGGCACCCGGCTGTCACAGAAGCCAGCGCGGGAAGACTGAACAGCGCTGGAGCGAGGAACAGGTAAGGCCCTGCAAGAGAGAGAACAGCTGGGCGGCCGGCCTGGTATTCTGACATGGTGGCGGCAGAAATACCGGACCGGCCGCTTTATATTCGCTCCATAAGACGCACTGACATTTTCCCCCCTTTTTTGGGGGGGGAAAAGTGCGTCTTATGGAGCGAAAAAATACGGTAACTGTCCACACATGTAGAAATGGAGGCGTTATACAACATGGATGACAGTTAATAAAACATATTTCCTTACAGAAGGTGTCACAGAGGATTGAATCCATGGAGTAGTATGTGTGAGACCTCCTGGATTGAGGTTCTGGGAAGGTGGCACAGCGGTTTGAATTCTGCATATTTCTAAGTTGGGTCTGGGCGGGACCAACCCATAAAGTGGGTATGATGGGCAGTATCTGCATATTTATAAGTTGGGTCTGGGCGGGACCAACCAATAAAGTGGGTATGATGGGCAGTATCTGCATATTTATAAGTTGGGTCTGGGCGGTACCAACCCATAAAGTGGGTATGATGGGCAGTATCTGCATATTTATAAGTTGGGTCTGGGCGGTACCAACCAATAAAGTGGGTATGATGGGCAGTATCTGCATATTTCTAAGTTGGGTCTGGGCGGGACCAACCAATAAAGTGGGTATGATGGGCAGTATCTGCATATTTATAAGTTGGGTCTGGGCGGGACCAACCAATGAAGTGTGCACGATGGGCAGTTTCTGCATATTTTTAGGTTGGGTCTGGGCTGGGTACCAACCCATAAAGTGGGCACGATGGGCAGTTTCTGCATATTTCAGTACAAGTGCCCCCATAGCAAGTGTTTTACTATGGGGGCACTCAGAAGGGAGGAGGAGCCAGTGGGGGACCTCAGAAGAGGAGGATCAGGGATGCTTTGGGCAAAACCATTACAGATCAGGTAAGTGTGACATGTTTGTTATATTTAAAGCAATTGTACCTTTGCGATCACTTTAACCTTGGCACATCAACAGCCACTTTCCAGGTCATACACAGTGGGGCAAAAAAGTACTTAGTCACCACCAATTGTACAAGTTCTCCCACTTACAAAGATGAGAGAGGCCTGTAATTGGCATCATAGGGAGACCTCAACTATGAGAGACAAAATGAGAAAACAAATCCAGACAATCTCATTGGCTGATCTGGAAAGAATTTATTTGCAAATTATGGTGGAATATAAGTATTTGGTCACCTACAAACAAGCAAGATTTCCGGCTCTCACAGACCTGGACCTTCTTCTTTAAGAGGCTCCTCTGTCCTGCACTCATTACCTGTATCAATGGCACCTGTTTGAACTTGTTATCAGTATAAAAGACACCTGTCCACAACCTCAAACAGTCACACTCCAAACTCCACTATGGTGAAGACCAAAGAGCTGTCGAAGGACACCAGAAACAAAATTGTAGACCTGCACCAGGCTGGGAAGACTGAATCTGCAATAGGCAAGCAGCTTGGTGTGAACAAATCAACTGTGGGAGCAATAATTAGAAAATGGAAGACATACAAGACCACTGATAATCTCCCTCCATCTGGGGCTCCACGCAAGATCTCACCCCGTGGGGTCAAAATGATCACAAGAACGGTGAGCAAAAATCCCAGGACCACACGGGGGGGGACCTAGTGAATGACCTGCAGAGAGCTGGGACCAACGTAACAAAGGCTACCATCAGTAACACACTACGCCGCCAGGGACTCAGATCCTGCAGTGCCAGACGTGTCCCCCTGCTTAAGCCAGTACATGTCCGGGGCCCGTCTGAAGTTTGCTAGAGAGCATTTGGATGATCCAGAAGAGGATTGGGAGAATGTCATATGGTCAGATGAAACCAAAATAGAACTGTTTGGTAGAAACACAACTCGTCGTGTTTGGAGGAGAGAGAATGCTGAGTTGCATCCAAAGAACACCATACCTACTGTGAAGCATGGGGGTGGCAACATCATGCTTTGGGGCTGTTTCTCCGCAAAGGGACCAGGTAGACTGATCCATGTACAGGACAGAATGAATGGGGCCATGTATCATGAGATTTTGAGTGCAAACCTCCTTCCATCAGCAAGGGCATTGAAGATGAAACGTGGCTGGGTCTTCCAACATGACAATGATCCCAAACATACCGCCCGGGCAACGAAGGAGGGGCTTCGTAAGAAGCATTTCAAGGTCCTGGAGTGGCCTAGCCAGTCTCCAGATCTCAACCCCATAGAAAACCTTTGGAGGGAGTTGAAAGTCCGTGTTGTCCAGCGACAGCCCCAAAACATCACTGCTCTAGAGGAGATCTGCATGGAGGAGGAGATCTGCATGGAGGATGGGCCAACATACCAGCAACAGTGTGTGCCAACCTTGTGAGGATTCCAGGAAACGTCTGACCTCTGTCATTGCCAACAAAGGATAGATAACAAAGTATTGAGATGAACTTTTGATATTCACCAAATACTTATTTTCCACCATAATTTGCAAATAAATTCTTTCCAGATCAGCCAATGAGATTGTCTGGATTTGTTTTCTCATTTTGTCTCTCATAGTTGAGGTCTCCCTATGATGCCAATTACAGGCCTCTCTCATCTCTGTAAGTGGGAGAACTTGCACAATTGGTGGTGACTAAATACTTTTTTGCCCCACTGTATACCCGTGTGACAAGCCATATTCTTACATTAGCCCATATAATGAAGTGCACCCAGTAGTGTCTTTTCTTTCATCAAACCGTCCAATCAACTCCCATGCTGAACAAGTGTTACAATGAACAAATTACAGAGCAAGTCACCTAGAAAGTGAATGGACTGGCCAGAGCATCCTTTCCCAACATCATGGAGGAACCTTTGGAAGACCTTTCCAGTCTCCAGGAACCCATGCTGGTCATTGTTATGTCTATAGCCAGTGCTTTTCTCCACTCCCAGCCCTCCGCTCCTCGCTCCTGGCTCCCTGCTCCCCACTCCCGGCTCCCCACTCCCTGCTCCTGGCTCCCTGCTCCCCACTCCCGCTTCCCGCTCCCCACTCCCCCTGCTCCTGGCTCCCTGCTCCCCGCTCCCTGCTCCCCACTCCCGGCTCCCCACTCCCTGCTCCCCGCTCCCCACTATCACTTGTAAACACAGAAGCCCGGCTTTTCTGTTTACAAGTGGCAGCTTGTCTCCCAATGGCCTCCCACCGACCTGATGTCCTGAGCAGCTCCAGCTGAGCACAGGATGGGGACAAGGAAGATTCAGATGACCGGGGTGCAGTGCGGATACTGACGCCCCCACTGGGTGATCTCCCTGCAAGTGAGAGGGGCGGAGCCATCGACAGTGAGCGCGGGGGGGGGGGAATACTAGAGCTGACTGGGTGCTTCAGCCTAATACAGCAACATAAGGAAGATGGTGGAGCCTTTAAGGAGCGAGAGAGAAGATGGGGGCAGTGGAGGTAGTGGTGGGGGATAGAGGGCTGCATGCAAAGGTCAGAGCTGAAGAGGGTTGGAAGTGAGATGTGAATGGGGGATGCAGAGGTAAGCAGTTGTGGAAGAAGGCTGAACCCTGCACTCTGTATGTAATGCACCCCTGAAACCCCTGACTCTGCAATATGTATATGTAATAATGCACTCCTGAAGCGCACTCTGAACCCTGCACTCTGTGTGTAGAGTACCCCTGAATTCTGCACTATGTACGTAATGCACCCCTAAACTCTGCACTATGTACGTAATGCACCCCTGAACTCTGCACTATGTACGTAATGCAAGTCCACTATGTACGTAATGCACTGAACTCTGCACTATGTACGTGAACTCTGCACTATGTACGTAATGCACCCCTGAAACTCTATGTACATAATGCTAACTCTGTATGTGTAATGCACCCCTGAACTCTGCACTATGTACGTAATGCACCCCTGAACTCTGCACTATGTGTACGTAATGCACCCCCTGAACTCTGCACTATGTACGTAATGCACCCCTGAACTCTGCACTATGTAAGTAATGCACCCCTGAACTCTGCACTATGTACGTAATGCACCCACCCCTGAACTCTGCACTATGTACGTAAAGCACCCCTGAACTCTGCACTATGTACGTAATGCACCCCTGAACTCTGCACTCTGTACGTAATGCACCCCTGAACTCTGCACTATGTCTGTAATGCACCCCTGTAACTCCCTGAACTCTGCACTATGTACGTAATGCACCCCTGAACTCTGCACTATGTACGTAATGCACCCCTGAACTCTGCACTCTGTACGTAATGCACCCCTGAACTCTGCACTATGTACGTAATACACCCCTGAACTCTGCACTATGTACGTAATGCACCCCTGAACTCTGCACTATGTACGTAACTCTGCATACACCCCTGAACTCTGCACTATGTACGTAAAGCACCCCTGAACTCTACACTATGTACGTAATGCACCCCTGAACTCTGCACTATGTACGTAATAGCACCCCTGAACTCTGCACTCTGTACGTAATGCACCCCTGAACTCTGCACTATGACTCTGTGTGTAACCCCCCTGAACTCTGCACTCTGTGTGTAGTAAACCCCCACTTGTAAATGCTCCCCTGAACTCCTGTACTCTGTGTGTAACCCCCCTGAACTCTGG